ACGTGAGATATGGAAAATGAAACAAATTGCATCCTGAGATTTATAAATACATCTAAAGAGAGAAATATTGTTCAATTAACTTATAAAGGTAGCTCCACTCAAAAGTATCTGGCGTCAAATACATATTTCTGCCTATACTTATGCTAAAAGCACTCTTGCTTGAGAACGTCCTCCACTCTAGAGGCTTTTAACCGTCGTCTGTATACTTACGTTTATCGACGGCGGTTAGCAATTTAGTTAGACACGCTTAATTAATGGAAGTTTTGCCGCGAGTTTATCGGGCTCGAATAAATTGTATTGTTATATAAAGCAGGAGCATCGATTGATTAGAGAATATAAAAGAATCGTATTTGCAGACAAAATAACATCAGGTGAGTATATTTAACGACACTGTATTAACAAGAAACACTAGTCCGCGGTTTTGGATGCTTTCGGTGTTTTTTTCATTTCCAAATTGTGATACCTAATTAAAATTTTCATTTTAGAAGAACAGACAAGTTTATGCCTTTTGGCTCTTGAATGATTTTTACGTGTATGTGGGATACTATGTAACTACGAATACGAATACCAAAGCATTTTTTCCAAATAAATCAATTTCCTCCACGATACATAAACTTGCACGGCATCCCGAATATTTAGAAAGACTCCGACAAAGCTCTTAAAAATGTACCTATCTATCTCGGCTACCTCTGCTTTTATAAGAAAACAATAACCGTTTTCCTTCAAGCGGCCGCGATTGGCGACGGAGACTGTCTTCGGAGATAGTCACAGTCTGCTTCGAGACCAGTATAATCGCGATCGCTGGTTGTGGATAGGGCTAAGCACCCATCCTTATATGACTCCTATCCTGGTTATAAAAACCAAAGAAGTGTCTGTTTATCAACAAATTGTGGCAACCTTCTCCTAATCGCCCTTTATAAATGGCGCTTACTAAACGCTCAAACTAACTACCGTACCAACGAAAAGAAGGAGGATTCACTTCATTCTTTTAACAGATGTTTCCTTTTCAATCCTACTCCACTCAAGTTCAGCAAGAAGCCGATTAGCTACAACGAAGTTGGTTCTATTATCTGTATAAATCATGGATGGTTAACCATTCCACTTCATTCCCAACACGTAACTGATAGCTGTTTCAACAAATCATCAAAGTCACTTTTCCACATTAGAAGGCAAAATTTTGCTTTTGCCATTGTTACTCGTTCACCAAACCACACCCAGGTTTAGCCATTGCCTAAATACCTGGAACAAGGAAAAGAAACTTGATATCTACCAAGATAATATCTGCTTGTCGTCTCTCCCAAACCTATCTTTTAACGCTTTTATGGATTTGGGATAGTTCTCTGCAGTCTGCGGATAGCTACATACTAATTCATAAGCTCGGAACCCATCGTATAGTATAGTATAGTATATACCCATCTATCATCAATTGTACCAAACATTGAAACTTGTCACTGTCATGTATGGTAATGTCTTCGTCTATCTTTGTAAACTGACTCCAAAACAGTAACCACTCTTAGTCTTCTCCAATAAACTTACTTTGATTACCGAATACTGACAAGTACCTACTCATTTTCAGTTATGTATTTGCAATTCCCCTCTATCAGAACTTTATTTGAACCCACTCCTTGCTGTTTGAAACACTTTTCTTCATTTTGTTGGTGATCGTCCAAGTTGTGGTCAAGCATTTGGTATCTTATCGTCCAATATTTGCAGTTCACGATTAATATCTTCCAGCATAAATACATTCACACGCACGCATCTGATCTAAATCAGGAGTCGTATTTTGGCTTTCAGCATTTATCTCATCAAACAACTTGTTTGCCGCCTGACGGTCCATACGTTTTCGAATTATCAAACAACTTTTATCACAAATCACGTCGGGGGTCATCAAAAATGTTGTAGTCGGCGGTTAGTGACTACAACTACCCGTTGATAGTTTAACCGCATTAGCATGTAGCATAGGACCCAATGTTTGCTTAATTCGGTTCTGGTTTCGAAAACAGTTCAAACTGCTATAACCCGAATTGGCAAATCAAATCCTACAACTGGCAAGTTTCAAATTTCCCTGGTGCCAAATATTATGATTATTAAATCTAGACAATTTGCAGAGGAATTAGGTTCCTTTTATGCAAATTTTGCTATATTATAAAATCATCGTATTTAATTGGAATCAAGTAATTTCTTAAATTGATTGACACTTTGTGCTACTACGACTCGGTTGGGAAGTGAGTTCCATAAGTTAAAAACTCTGTTTGTTAAGAAGTGCTGCCGAATTGTTGCTTTATAATTTTCTTTGATAAGCTTATAGTTATGCCCTCTCAACCTCTGGTTATCAGCAATTTTAATAAAGTTCTTAAAGAGTGGACTTAATCCACGAAGTACATTTAGTTTTTACGTTAGTATATTAAAATGAATTAGTGTCAGCATTGAATAATAAATCTGATTATTCAATGGTATCGGGTAGAAAGTAGAAAATAGGAGAAAGTTTTCGTGCAGTTTTGAAATGTTTTTTGTGTATGTCCAGGTGCAACAGCAGTCTTGAATATTTTCCATGCCTATTCTGGTGGCGTTTTCGCACTGGAGCTTGAGCTTTAAAGCAGATTGGTTGTAAGAAACATCTCAAATGATTGAGCAAAGACACAGTTTTACCACTGAATCTCTATGGTGTATCCAGAAAACGTTTGCTACCATCTATACAGTCCTGAGTAGATTCTAATTCTACTCAAAATAGCATTGGAATCTGTAAATACCCTAATGATGGTCATCAAGATAAGAAAATACCTTGTAAAAACTTTCTTCTTCGCAGACCTTAAATATAAAACATTTGCGTGTTTGCAGACCTACCAACCGTCTCATTGGTTGGAGCCAGTTGCAAAAGTTGTGTCCACTATTAGGGTATCAACATCTTTCATCCTTTGAAAGTAAACCTCGCAACCTCGCAATGAGCATTGATAGAGAGAGCATTTATTTCAACCACGAATGTGGTGTAACTGTCACACAATAATAACAACATAAATTAAAAACACAATAAAGTACAATAAATAATATAAATATATCTATAAAAAAGAAATGTAAATAGGTGTATATATTAAAATTTATTTATTTATTTATTTTTTTTTTTAAAATATGATTAGCATTTTTTGATATTCGTAAAGAAATCATCCAGTGTGTATAGCACCATTGATTGAAGAATTTTTCTAATTTGGTTTTTAAAAGGAGCCAACATTGTAATACATTTGACATGTGCCGGAAGGGCATTATAAAATCTCACCCCCATCTGTAGGTAGGACGAGTTATGCACCTTACTTTTTGATCTCATTATAGAAAAGTTATTTTTCGTTCTAGTATTATATGAGTGGTTATCACAATTTAATGAAAATAATTTTTTGTTTTTGAACACGAAACATAAACATTCAAGCACATATAATGAATAGACGGTTGCAATCTGAAAGTTTTTAAAATACGGTTTGCAGGATTCCCGTTTCTGTAGCGAAAACATTACCCTGATTGCTCTTTTTTGAACCTTAAATATGCTAGCAATTCTATGACTAGTAGCATTTCCCCATAATGAGATACCGTACCGCACCTTACTTTCAAATATTGAATAGTAGATTTGCAAAAGGGTTTTATGGTCACATAAATTTTTACAACGGGACAATGCAAAAATCGATGAATGTAATTTTGCTCTCAGATGGTCAATGTGATCTTTCCAACTAAGTTCTGTGTCTATAATAACTCCTAAGAAGGTACAGGATTGACACCTTTCTAATTGAACTGACTGGTAACGCAGCGGAGCGATATCCAAACCCATATTTTTCTTATAAAGAAGAATTTTTGTTTTTTCCAAATTGAGTAAAAGTTTATTTGCATTAAACCAATTAATAAGAAGTGATAACGCACGTTTTAAATTAATTTCTAACTCTTCTTCAACACAAGCCATGTCGACTTCTCTTTAATTCTCATGTTAGCAAGGATATCGTTGTCATCATTGTATCATATCACCGCCTGC